CATCATCATCATCATCATAATAATAATAGATAGCATTCGTGAAGCGCAAAGCCCCGCTCAACGGCAAGCTCTATGCGCTTCACAATGCATACTATTACCCCAGCAGACCTGAAAGCATTCTGAAACAATCTCAACTCCCTAGGAAGCATACAGTGCAAGTAGTCATTTGTAGGCTCTAAAACTCTAACATACTGACTAGGTATTTCTCTGTCTATGGCCGGGTACCCATTCCCACCTGGGTGAAGTGGGGAAAATTCGTGTAAAGTGCCTTTCCCAAGGACACAACGGCGGGCCCGCGGCTCGAACCCCTGAACCTGCAACCTCAGGATTACGAGTACGGTAGCCTAACCACTAGGCCACCGACGCAACATGAAACATAATGTATCACAGTAAAGCTCGAACCCCTGAACCTGCAACCTCACGATTACGAGTCCGGTAGCCTAACCACAATAAGAGTTGGCTTCTGCTGCCACCCGAGCAAAATTCAAATTTCCTACCAACTGAAAGTGTTTAATGTGTCCTGGGCGCTCATATGACCTTATGCAGTTGTGAGCGCCGTAAAACATTTGCCTCCTCCCACAAATTCACAGTCTCCTTTTTGATGCTTAAATTTTTCTTAGGGTTTCTATCGATCGAAGAAATTAATCAACTTCTGCTCATTTCCTTCTTCTTCTCGACGCGCTCATATGACCTTAGCAGTTGCGAGCGCCGTAAAACCCTGTACTACATACATACATACATACTTCTCGATCGCTTCACACTTGAAGTCTGGTATCTGTCATAAATTGGGCCGTCCTGCTCAGTTCATCTGTCGGCCCGTATAGCTTCTCTTGTAGTATCAGTGGGGTTGCCCACGTTTTGCTCACTTCCTTTTTTTACTACTTCATTATTTTTCAGAGAACATTTTGTTAATTCCAGTAAAGAGTTACAGTAATGCGGTAATATAAAATGATTGCATATCTTTTTGCAGATTTCTACTGCCTGATCTCTATTCAAGACCCAAGCCTTGCAAAGACTGGGGAAAAATTATCCTGTAATATCTTCAGTAAAAGCAGTGATGATCTTCCTAGGGTTGATGTTGGTGATGTTGTGAGGTTTCACAGGCTGAAAGTAAGACTCTAAGTGATTTTCTTTTTTAATCTTCTTTTCTTTTGCCATTAAAAATGTAATTTGCTGTGGCTTTTGTTCTGTTCTGATATACCCCAGGCCCTCAGTTACTTTGTTATCTCGGTTGGTATTATGCTGGATGATGGTGCAGATGACTCAGGTTCAAGTTCCCAATGGGGCTTTCTTTAACTTGAGTTGTTTTGGGGATTTTTATGGCTTACAGGCCACTTGATTCAATTCATTAGTGAAGGGCATTGAACGGGAGTCTTTGTCTCTTGAATAAACTGATTTTGTTGAATGGAACATTAATCCCATACCACACATATGTGTTGCGATGTGGAGGAATCGGGCGCTCGTCAATTTTTGGGCATATGGAGTTATAGGTATCATTTTCATGTCTGTTCATTTGCCTCGCTTTTGATGAAAAAAGTACCCATCTATCTTGAACAGAAGTAGAGATATTTGCATTTGAAGGAGGTAGGGGTCGCCTGGTGTCCAAGGTAAAATAAGCAAAAAAATGGGCGCCAAAATTTGGTGATTTCCAAAGCTTGAGTGTCCCTGGAAACGGCAAAATTTCATTTTTTTTGGTCGTTCATCCATGTTTTTCAGTAAAATGCATGCAGAAATATATTTTTAAATGGATATAAAAGGTGTTGAGAGCCCCCCCCCAAATTGATAAAAATTGGCCAATGGATGGAAAAGTGTCCATTTCTTCAATTTCATTATTTTGACGAGCGCCTGATTCCACCATGTTGCGACACATATCATATCACACAGCCCCTTGTTTGTGAATTTATTTAATCTGTTTTTCTTTATCCCCACAGGTTCAGAAGTTCCAAGGCAAAAGGCAAGGCTACAATGGTCCTGGTTTTCAATGGCTGGTTTTTCCTGAGGGGTCTGTGGGACGTAAGGTGGCTTCCTCAATGAACTTCTCCTTTTGTGAAGAGGACAAGAATGAGGTAACTGACCACTATTATTGTATTTCTTTTCTTGAAATGTGATGTGATTTTTGTCTTATATAATATAGCTTTTCGTTATACATTACACTTTTGTGTTTTCAAAAATTGCATGCGATTGAAGCAAATCTTTTAGTAAGGTGGTGTTTTGGCAAGGTAAACGGTATATCACAAAAAACATTGACCAGATACTTTTTTGTAAACATTAGGGTACAATAAAATTATAAGGTCAGGTGAGTTATACGCTGTGGTGCCACAGTGCCTGAAAGACCTGGTTCCCTGCTAGTTTTATCGAATCGATTATTGATTTTGTTGTGGGTAATCATTTCTGCCATTGATTGGAATAACACCCCCCTCTTGGTCCACCCATGCACACCTCTCCGCAATTTTACTTTTTTTTCTCTCATTACTTATGTTTCAAAACGTCTTTTTCTGATTAATGTGTCACAATTTTATTTTGTCGCACTTGGTCTGATTTTAATTCTCAGGTTTTGTCTGAATTGAAATTAAAGAGATTGATATGATGTGTATGTCGGGTTCTACCTGTACTGTCCAGTCTTTGTTCTGCACATAATAAGATAGCAGAACGTTAGACTAAATTGCCGAGTTTAGCTTTCTTGAGACTTTTTCTTCTTCTGTTACAGCATATTCACCAATGGATGTTTGACCAGTGTAATTGTTGTGAGTTCGTATTGAAACGATTTTTAAAGTACATTTGTTCTGCTCAAATAGAAATTTCGAAATCTTGTATCAGTGCTTCCAATTTTCTGCCAAATGATGGATTTCCGCCATTTTTTAGTTTCATCCAGACCTTATCTGCCGATCCGATGCCCGCCGCCTCATTGATGGTTCACCCCTCCCATGTTTCCGACTTTCTCACATTCTCCGTTGTTAAAAAACTACATCTAGATCTATGTTGCGTTGCCTTTCGTTAGACTGTGCTGTAAAGATCAAGTAATCTACCTTACGCTGTTGGAAGTTCTGATGGCCGAATGGACAGCGTGTCTGTGTTTGAAGGAAGTCATACAATTATTATTCTATGAGCATGGGTTCGAAAATTGATCCCAGAAGTTTATTTGTTTTTTTACCCACGACTGACCAATAATTTTTTCCCATAATTAGAATTTATTGCCTTGTAGTTTTTTATGTAGTGATGAAGCATGCACATTCTGGTTTTGTCCCCAGGAGGAGCTTTTACTTACAAAGTATACTTTTCCCTTTCCTGTTTACCAATCTAGGCCTGGTTTAAGTTAAATATTTGCTTTACTTGATGTGTGAATCTCATTAAAAAATTTTTTTATTGTAGGCTCAGAAAGGCCAAATTTTAGCTTTGTCGGCCCCCAACCCCCCAACCAGGGCATGGCCCTAGACCCACTGAGGGCCTGGAGGCCCCCAGACCGTGGCCTGCGTGACTACATGGTATTTTACATGGCCTTACACAACAGTCAGTGGCGTCACAAGTCTGCGGTCAACTGGTCGCGAAGGCTTGACTGATGAGCTCAGCCTAGGTCTAGCCATCTTTCGTTTCAATTTTAGCCGTAGAGACAGAGAGAGGGGGAGAGAATGGGGGGGGGGGGGGAGAGACAGAGAGGGGGCAGAGGGAGAGAGAGGAAGAGTGAGAGGGGGCGGGAGATGCTAGGTCTAACGAGCGCGTTTATGTCAAGTAAAGCATGGTTACAATGTCCAAACAACAGAAAATATAATTAAAGCAAAAATATTAAAATTGCATTAACACAATGATAATAATAATTAATATTAATACATGTAAAATAATAATGGTAGCCCTACATGTATTTAAGTTAGAAGAAGAATTGAGTAAGAGTTTACTTGCAACACTTATAGGTCATATAGGTGCTGGAGATTAGAGGTGTTAAAAGAGTAACATACAAAAAAAAAGAAGGAGGGTAGATAATGACGATGGATGTTTAATTGGAATAAAAATTGCAACATTCGCAATGACAATTACAACAAAAACAATTATTATTCTAATAACAAGGAAAACAAAGAGACGGGACGTGGAAGTAGGGCATACAGAATAAAACAATGTACGCACCAACAATGTAATGCCACCACCACCAACAACTCCAAAATGAAGAGGGGATGAGGCACATACCAAAAAATCCTACCTTGACTTGTTGCAGAATCTCTTATAACCTTTTTGTGAGGGTTTTTATTTTTCTTATCGAGTTTGTCGCAGACATTTTGTCACTGAAGTTTTTTGAGTAATTGTTCAGGAAAATGTTAACCAGTGGCTTGCTGCACTTGAACTTCAACACTTGATCTTTAAAAGATGTATTGCATTCGCTAAGTCTTGGTATTTTTCTGTCCATGGTGAGAACAGTTCCATCTAACGAGGGATTAGAAAGAAGAACAGTTTGAATCTAATGTAAATAGATATGTAGTTTCTAGATCATTAAGTTCTTAATGATATACCAAAAGGCTATAATAATAGTCTAGTCTTCTTCTTCTTCTTCTTCTTCTTCTCCTCCTCCTCCTCCTCTTCCTCCTCTTCTTCCCCCTCCTCCTCCTCCCCCTCCTAAATCTAGACCATTTTTGAACAAAAAACAGACGATCAAATTTAAAACAAAGAATAGTATTGAAACACAGTCACGAGGTGGTTACCTATCACACTAGCCTAGTCACAAGCATCCATCACTGGAAGGAGGAACGGAGGCACTGCACTTTGTTGCCGATACACAACACGCTAAAAAATCCTGCGGAATCTCATCCGTCAGCCGCAGCCTGATGACGTCACTTGTCAGCATGTGGCAGTGTGTAAGGCCATGTTATTACGAAGGCCACGCCCAGACCCTGGCCAATTTTTGCTCCATTTTGGGATTTTGCTGTTGGAAACATTGTTGTTTCCCATATGATATTATATTTTCCTGAACTCAAAATGAGATTTACTAATGGATAATAGATATATTTCAGTTTTGCCTTATTTTTGTTGTTGTTGTTTGTTTGTCAGGTGAAAAGACTGTCTGAGTGGTGGGATCAGGTGGGCAGCAGTCAGGGTGCTATACCCTCAACCACTCTCTGCCAGGCTCAGCCGCGGGAGTACTTCAATCTGATCTGCCAGGTGAGTCAACCTTCATTAAGGGGAGACCCAGGCCGACGATCCCAGAGAATATTGATAAAATGTTTCAAAATATTGATTTTTTGTTTTTTGCGGAAAAACATTCTTCAACATCTATTCTATCGGGTCACTATGACAGAAATGTTGAAAAAACCCTAAACGACCTAAAAAGTGTTTGAAAAGTGCATATTTCTTACAGTTGCCTCCCCCACCCTCATCCCGTACTAACAAATTGTTCGTTTATAATATGCTGTTCTTACCGCTCTAAGTGAATAGTTAACTCCTTTTTGTGATATTTAAAAAAAATTATGTGGTCATAAATTATTTTCCTTTGTTATTTTTTCACCTCACAAAAGTGTAATATTACATTAGTTCAAGTAGTTACACCCCCCCCTACCCCCCCACCCCTTCCAGGCGTCGTCCCCTATTCCTTTTTCCAGGGTGCTGAATTTTCTTTTCATCTATTAATTGTATTAAAGCGTTTATATTGACTTACTTCTTAAATTAAATTTTATGAAAAGTGACAGGCATTCCTTTTTGATCCTCAATATTACAATTTTCGATATGTTTCAATTTCAGATTATCCGCATTGGAGACATGAGGTCTGACACTGACTGCAAGCTTCTTCGAGTCTGGGATGGGACAAAGTTTGAAGGGTAATTAAATAAAAATAAACAGCATTTCTATAGACCTTATCCCTGCTCAACAGCAAGTAGTTCTATCCACTTTACAATCTTTATCATTACCCCAGCAGACCCTAGAAAGCTCAGAAACATTCTCGGCTACCCGGAAAACATACAGTGCAAGCTGCCGATTAAGTTGCTCAAATACTCACAAGCGCTCGTATGAATTTGTGCAGTTGTGAGTGCTGTAAAACGTACTAAACTGAAACAGAGACAGACAAAATATTACACTGTCTTCAGCTGGTTATCCATTTCCACCTGGATTAAGTGAGGAGCATTCATTCAAAGTGACAACAGCGGGCCACTAACGGGGTTTGAACCCACCTTTCGGTTGTGAGCCCAACAGTCTAACCACTAGACCACTGATGTCATGCTAAAATGTCTTCTAAGTACAGGGTCTGTATTTTCTCCTTAAATACTTTTGTTAAGGCTTCTATGAACAATGTTCTCAACTCTTTCACCACATTCTTCACCTCAATACCAGAAAAATGAAAACTAGTGGAATTAACAAAGTGAAAAAGTTCATTTTAAGGTTCAGTCCATACAAATTTATGACTGATGATGGTGCAGGTGACTGGAGGGTGCTCACTTTTAAGGGGAGACGTACACTCCCGCAAACATTTTCTAAACGAATGACTTTTATTCAATTTCATGTAATTGTGCAAGAAGTTCATAGG